AACAGCATCGGTGAATTTTTACTGTTCTATCCGATTACTTTCTTTTATAACTAATTTTATTCATTTCGAGCGCTGTATCAAAGGCCTTTTAAGGTCTCGAGTGTATTCGATTTTGCTTTAACTTTACGTGCCATTTCATATCTTTCTTGTAACAAGAGAGGCCACAAATTTCTGTTTTTCCTTTTCTAGTCACTTTAGTGTTCCATATTCTACTCATTTCACATTTGTTTATATTCCTGAAGTTTTATTTGCCATGGCTCTTACGTTGACATCCTGAAACAAACACATTCCGACTGCCGATATCATTTGTTTTGTACTGTTTGCTGACTAACCTTACTATACAACCTTCTGTAGGTTTTAGATGATCTACAAATTTATTGTGAAGTAAAAGGCATTTATATTGAGAAGACTAATCAGTAATGAAGCTGAAGATCTGATCCATTGTAACGTCAAATCAACATTTTGCATAACCACTGAACCAGCTGGGCTACCTACCACAACTGCAAAAGTCCATGGTCCGGTTCCCGAGGGAGGTTTTTCCGGAACGGTGCAGTAGGAACGAAATTGTCGCGTCGCAGTGAGAGGGACGTCGCGCGCGGAGGAATGTAGCAGGATGCAGCAGTCGGTAAGAAATTCAAGAACAAAAGTACTAATAGTAGAATTATGCATGAAGTAATGATCGCATATCGATTGAGCTGTATGAAAAAGGCTGAGCTGTAATAACGGCGAATGAGTGGTCCGCGACAACCGCGTGCGGCGAATCGATTACCCAAGATCGTTCCTAACGCCCGTCTCCCTAGTTTCCGGTAGCGGCACTATTTGGCACCGCGACAAACTATAAACAGTTCCAATCATATAAATCAAGAAGATCGTAGTTTTTGTACCCGATGGCATTTCAAGACTGTGGACCACTCCTATCGTTGGGCAGAAGAAAACCAACATTCAAAAAAGTCTCGAAAGCCGTACTCGTTAGTTAGCAAAAGATCGGTTCCAATCAAATAACCTTGAGAGATATGTCAGAGGGATTAGTAAAAGAACATGTTTAGCTGATCACGTACTTGCAGATCCTACGATCTCAACAAATGCTGCGACCAGATACTCGATGGTCTTGGTAGAAGTTTCATCGAAAATTTCTGTCATTTTTCAGGTAGAATGGAATTTTCGAGCGTTTTGTCAGATTACTGAACAGACTTCCTGTGTTCTATTAACACGCCAGGCTATCTGGGAGTCATTTAGAGCAGTTTCGAAAAAGAATTATCTCTTCTAACGCAGTATGTATGCTGATATGGTGATGTAAGGGCCTTATGTATATCGCTCTTGTAAAGGAAGTTGCAGTCTGATTCATAATGATCCCTCACGCCCCTCAGCTTTGATCATCTCGGTGAAAGTGACGAAGAACAGGGAAAGCGTGATGTCGCTGGATTCGAAGTTATATCAGCATGCGAACGGAAACTCGCCCGTTGTTTTCGCACGGTCCAGGAAAATGAAAAAAGCAAAGGTCCTGTTCTACCAGTCCACGGCGGCTTCATTCGTTTT